ACACACACACACACACACACACACACACACACACACAAAGTTTGAGTACCCCTGTTGAGTTCATGAAACCAGAGTTCGATTTCTATAAAGTTTTAGAAGTTTTTACAATGTTAGAAATTTATAAATTTTTATCCTTAATGTATTTTTGGCTAGCTTTAGGTGTCTGTATATAAAGAACTTTAACCAAACACCAGAGAATCTTATAATTAAAAAATTTTAAGTTTGATTATCATCCTAAACCTTTACCGTTAAAATATTTAACTTAGTTCAGATGAAATCTAGTGGCTAGCATACTTTGCTAATAGAAATGAGGTCACTAGAGTCTAGTAACCACTTAAGGGTGACAATAGCTAGGCCAAGTTCATATGAACATTAGAATACACTATTGCGCTCAAGATAAATAGTATAAATCACATACATGGAATTATAGCCAATGAATTTTTTATATACCTGGTAAAAATATAAAAAACGATATCAAGGAAAACTGATATTTCTTTCTTTCTAAATGTTCTGCCAGGTTTCCACAGGCCTGAGACCAGAAGAACGAGCTGCCACCCTGTTACCACCACCAACTGCGCTGAAAGGCTCACCCTAGAAGGTCCTGGATAGAATGGGAGGAAAAAGTGGTACAAACTCAAATTCACACAAGAGCCCAGGCTTACTGGCTTGACAGAAATTGATGGACTTCCATCCCTAGTCACCCCTCAGGTCTTTAATGAACTCACCTTTTGTGGCTCAATGTTCAACCAAACAATAGACAAGTCTATGAAGGCAACAATAACAAAAGAGAGGTATGTACTCCAGAGAAAAAAATGAACCATTTGAGAACAAAAGGGCAGTATTTACCCCAGGAAACTCAAGGAGCAAGTGGGATAATTCATGTTATACTGTCGTAATCAATGACAATGTGTATCAATTGCTGTACGGAAAATTGATGCTTCCTATAACATACTTATTCAATTGCAAAGTTCCCAGAATTTTAGAGATACATGCCGGTCAAAAATCGTGAGTTAAAAACACGATCTTCAGGTATATTTCTTCTGTCTTTAACTGTAGAGGCTTTAGATAAAATTCAATTTTAAGAAAGAGTGCAAGGCTCCTCAAGGGTGTTCTTCCTCTAGCAAGAGTGCACGTTACTGATCAGAGGTCCAGTTTTTGGTCTCCTGGTTAAACACTGATCAGTTAGGGTTCATTTAAGGAAAACGAAAGGGGGATGTCTTCACTACTTTACAACAGATGAGTTGATACCTGACACCTTGGTCACTTAAGCTTATATGAAGTCAGGATCATATACCCTGTTTCCCCGAAAATAAGACAGTGTCTTATATTAATTTTTGTTCCCAAAGATACACTAGATCTTATTTTCAGTGGATGTCTTATTTTTCCATGAAGAAGAATACGGTACACGTTTATTATTTATTGTTATTAAAAGAGCCCTCGCACTTCCTGTCTGCTCTGCGGCCAACAGTGAGCAGCGTGGCGCCCACACCACTACGGTCCAGGGTTCAGAGTCCAGAGTTATGGTAGTTTGGGGGGGGGGGAGGCTTATTTCGAGGAGGTCTTATTTTCCGGGGGATGCCTTATATTTCAGCGAGAGACAAAACTGTAAGTAGATCTTATTTTCAGGGGATGTCTTGCTTTAGGGGAAACAGGGTAGTTATTACATTTTACTCATACTAATAAAACGTCTTTATCTTTTAGAAATAGTGCTTCAAAATAATCTATAGTGGGAAGGATGAGTGAAAAGGAGTGGATATAGATTTTTAAAAGTCTGGTCAGGTATGAATAACTGTTGCTTACTCATTAAAATATCCCTATATTTCTGGATTTTGCTTGACACAAAGCTGACTCACAATTACAAAATTTCAGCCTCTAATCATTCTTGACTATTCCATATGTAACAATATTATCTTTAGTAACAATATCTTTAGAGTAACTCACCGAACATTTTCTGGTCTGAGCTTATCAAGAACCATCTCTATTAAATCAGGTCTAAATTCTTCCAGCAAATATTCAGCTGTAAGCACTTCTTCTAGGGGATAATACTGTTTAAAAGGAAAAATAAATACAATTTTCAAAGCTGCTACAGAATTTAACATTTACTAAAGAAAACAGATCGCTAGCACATTAAATGTACACTTTATTTCCCCTCTTTCTTTTAACTACATTTTATTCCACTGGAGAGTTCCATATTCTGTGGTCTTGAATCTTTAGTCTTTTCTACCCACAACTTTATGCAGCTTTATATTATAAAAGACTTTCTGAGTTAATCCCCAAGTAAATCTACATTATAAAGGATATAAAAATTCACACTTCATACCTGGCTGAAAACCGAGTACTTCTTGCTGAGGAAAATTTGATGATGGAATGCTGACATCCAAAGAATTTTTAATATTAAGAATATACATTTTTCTGCCCTGAATTTGATATATTTATTGGGAGCGATTAACACAGCCCCAGTTACATGATGTGCAACTATTGATATGGTTAGAGTTTTGGGTTTTTTAAAATCATTTTATTGGGGGCTCGTAAAACTCTTATCACAACCCATACATACACCCATTGTGTCAAGCACATTTGTACATTTGTTGCTACCATCAGTCTGAAAACATTTGCTTTCTACTTGAACCCTTAATATCAGCTTTCATTTCCCCCCCTCACTCCCCGCTCACCACTTCCTCAGGAACCCTTAAGAATATATATTTTATGAACACAATCTCCTCTTAAATTTCTACAAAGAAAATCAAAAGCATTTGGACAACTGTTATGGGTAAAAATAATTCTGATTTATGGCTAATGAAGAACAAAATTTTTAGTAAGAGTAACTTCCAATATATATGTAGGAACAAACGGATTAATTTATTGAACAAATCTTTAACAAACACCCACTCCGTGCAAAGCACTCTCCTTGGTTCTGTGGCAACAATGGCAGATGAAGCAGGGGAAGGCCCTTGTCTCCACGTTTGTATTCTCATTGGGAAGGAGGCAGGTAGCACATAAATACTGCAAGTTTAGTTAGTGACAGCTGCCAGGAACAGAAGAAGGGAAAAGGGGGTGGTGGGAGCAAAGAGAGAGAGAGAGGCATGGAGTTATTTCAGAGAAAGCTAAGAATGAGACATATGAATGAAGACCTACATGATACAAAGAACCTGGCCATGCAAATGTCAAGAAGAAGAGTGTTTGTTCAAGGTAGAGGAAACAGCAAATGCATAGGCTCTATGAGGGAGGAATAAACTCAAAGCTGAAGATTAGATAAAGAACAGTATAGCTGAAGTAAAGAGTCCAGGTGGTTTTGTGGTTATGCTTTGGTCTGCTAACCACAGCTCATTAGTTCAAACCACCACGCAAGAAAGACGAGGCTTTCTGCTCCCCAAAAGGGTTACAATCTCAGAAACCCACAGAAGCAGTTCTACCCTGTCCTATAAGGTAGCTTTGAGTTGGAATTGACTCAATGGCAGTGAGCTGAGTTTGGTTTGGTTTATAGCTGGAGTAGAAGTGAAGGAAAGGAGGCTTGAGGAGTGGCATGAAATGCAGTAAGAGACAAGCTGGAGCCAGATCAGCTTGCAGGCAAGGGTACAATTCCAAGGCTGATGGGACAGCATTAAGAGGTTTCAGGCAGTGGAGGGGAACAATTTGATTTTGGTTTGCAAAAGAACAATGAAACTGGAAACAAGCAAAAACTTCACCAAAACAATAGAGGGGACAATAAGGAAAACAGGCATCTTACGAGAATCTATTATGGTAGTGTAGGCAGAAACAATGGTAACTTGGACTAAGGTGGTAAGAATGGAGACAAGTGGATGGTTTACTGCAATGTTTCCCAAAGTGGGCAATACTGGCCCCTGAAGGAAACCACATGATCCAAGGGAAGGCAAAAGCAGTTACCTAGACTTTATCCTGTATTATGGGCTAAGGTATAAAAAATTTTAATTGCTAGAGAAGCACTGAATAATAATTTTTCCATAAGTTTGGGAACAAACTTATGACCTACAGCTATCACAGTAAGCACCAAACACATTATAGAACTGAAAGTTTTTAAAAGTCAATCAGCAAAATGCCTGTTGTTTTTTTAAGAAGATAATTTTTAGAATGATGAAAATTAAGATTTTAAACATGTCTCAACACCAAAGTTTGCCTATTTGCAACAGAGTAGGGTATTATGCTGCAGCTTCAATTTTTATCATTCATGTAGTTCTGAAAGTAATTTAAGTAGGGCAAGTGAAATAAATATTCTACATATCAATGTACAAAATAAAATAAGAACAAACTTACATGCAATATTCCTGCAATCTTTGAAGTGTAGCCCCTTGGTCTTTCCTTATCTTTAAATCTAAAAGCAACAGCATTCAAGTCCTAAAATGAAAAATCAATCGAATTAAGACACCTGTTATATAAAAATACTTCTCTTAGTAGTTGGTTTGCAAAGCGGACTTCTTAATACAAATTTAACTTATCACACATTCTGAAAATACGTCTATTCTTGATTTAGAAATATATAACAGAGAATAAAAATTTCAGTGCATAAATTTAACCCATCAATTTACCTTAGGCCTAAAACCAAAAGCATTATAAAACAGGTTGTGATTTTGAATAAAAATAACAAATAAGGAATATGATTCTAAACCCTAAATTATTATAACTATTAGTAAAAAAAAAAAAATTAGGGAAACTGTGTGGAAAATCATGGGAGATCCACCTGTTTCTATGGTGATGGCATTGGTGACGATTCAGGGAACTGCTCCCAGATCAAGGAGTTAGTGTCACAGTTTTCTTGAGTTTTTATCTTTAAATGTTTACCTAAGTAAAGGGGATGGCTCTCATACTAAATATATTTTTCTGAATCCTGATAAGCCTTAAATATGAAGTATATATCTTTGAAAACCCTTTTTAATCAAGCTTTTAAAATTTGAAAGAACACCCTTTGTTTTATAGAAGAAAAAAAACGATAGCTAATTTTTCCACACGAGCTATAATAAAATCAGAATCATGTAAGTGGTCTTCCAAAAAGTTCATGGAAAAGTAGAACTAAAAGATCAATTCTATTCCTTAACTTAAGCTTCATCAAGGTCAAGACAAGTATAAGCAATGAGATCATTTAGTCCACCCCTAAAGAATTGAGGGTCCTGGGACCATGACCATGTCAATGCAATTTTAAAATATTAATTGAAGAACTATGGATAAAACAAAATGAAGTCGTACTTCATCGGCATGGAGTTGGCTCCAACTCACAGTGACTCCATAGAACAGGGTGGAACTGCCCCTTTGGGTTTCTGAGACCGTAATTCTTTATGGGACTAGAAAGCTGTGTCTTTCTCCGCTTAATCAGGGCTGTCGGTTTCCCATCACAACTCTTAAAAATTACCGTTGTTTGACGACAGGACTGAGCAGGAGCACTGTCCTGGTAGATGACTGGCTGGCGAAGCTTTAGGTGTTTCTCTGCTAAAGCAGTGTCACTTTCTCAAAACAAGCTAATACGCAGATGCTATTGTCTTTTGGTCCTCTGGAAAGTCAATATGCAAAGTGCCTTGCGCAGCCCCAAAACACTTGCTATCATCGCCTTTTGCTTTTGACTAGACACTGTTGCTTTAATTAGATCACTTCGGCCTCTTGGTAGCCATTGCTTTATTGTGCTCCGTCTTCTGCATCATACTGATAAAGTCATGCTTCAGCTCCTGTAATAATTCTTTGAAAAAATCCTTCAAGGTCTTGATCACATTTTCAAAAATTTCCCTTGAAAGTTCTGCTCCTGTCTGTAGATGATCTGGATGCAGTAGTTTCGGCACCCATGGAACAGAAAGTTGTCTCAATTTAATTTTTCAATCAGAATTGTATAAACAGAACCAATTCCGATTTCTATGATGCTAGCATAGTGTCTGCAACAAAAGGCTCCTATCTCACAACTGCTCAGGCAGGGCCAGGCAGTGCTGCATCTTGTTGGACATAGGGTCACTAAGAGAACTGACTTGATGGCACTAAACCACATGGTGATGGCTACTGTTTCTGCTACTAACTGTTGGTCCTCTTCACTTAGGGCACAAACGTTAATTATTTCCTCGAAAATTGAGGTGGATGGTCAGCCTGCGCGTTGGGTTTCATCTTAAATATTGTCTCATCATTATTTTTAAGTGAGCATAACCTCAAGACTTTACTATATTGTAAATAAAAGATGAGGAACCTTTTAACTGGATTACTTGGCTCCTTCGCTCATTATCTCCACCCAATTCAAAATGCTCGCATCTCTTAAAGGCCAACATTTGCTTAGCTCTGCAGTTGGTTCAACATAGTCCAGTCTCAACACAGGGTTCTTTATAGTTCTAGTCTCCGTCCAGAAGGCTTCCCATCATATCCACTCTGCATAAAAAGGGAATCTTTCGCCCTCTTGTACTTCGCCACACTTCTTATAGAAAGTTCAATGGGTTTTAGAAATGTTTGCCATATTTACAGGACTGCTACTGACACGAATAGCTCATCACTTACTAAAATGAACTATCCACTTGTAAATTTCTCTAGAAGTATTATCCCCATAGACTTATTGTAAAGCATCAATGATTTCATCATTCTTCCACTCAAGCTTCACTAATAGCTTCAACTTCGGCAAAATTCATGTTGTTCTTTGACAGCCTCTTTTCAAACTGATGTCTTATCCTTTGTAATGCTTCAACTAGATCCTATTCAAACATCTTATAACAAGTTAGTATGAGTTTATTTTGGTGCAAAAAAAATGAAATTCATATAGTTATTTTCATTATACACAAGCCAAGAAGTGATTCATAATACACAGTTTCCACGAACTTTTTGAAGACCCCACATACATCAAATAATTCACTATTTCTGAGAGGCTGCTATAGGTTTTATCAACAGATGAAGATCCCAAGGCTCATCCAGCTTTCAGGCAGGGAGTAATACAAGGCCTGATGTATACCAGCTCAAGGTTTCTTCTAAATAATCCAATTTCTTCCTTTGTCTGCCCTAAAAGAAGGTCACATGATGCCTTAATTCAGTGGTTCTCAACCTTCCCAATGCTGTGACCCTCTAATACAGTTCCTCATGTTGTGGTGGCCCCTCAACCATAAAATTATTTTCGTTGCTACTTCATAACTGTAATTTTGCTACTGTTATGAATCAGGCGACCCCTGTATGAAAGGGTTGTTCGATCCCCAAAGGGGTCGCAACCCACAGGTTGAGAATCACTGCCTTAATTCTTAATTATGTCCCACGGTAGCCAATCATACTAGTAAAACTAAGGCCCAATATTGCTATTAAATATTACAAATTTTACCATTTAAGTTTTTGGTTTTTTAAAAATAGATTCCTTAAGAAAAATTCTGGTGAAACAAGGGTACCTTGCACTCTTGGAAAACCCATTCTTGAGGTCCTTCTGCCCGTAACTTCTGAATGTACTGAAACATGTGCAGAATTATATCTTCAACATGTACTGGAAAAAAGGGGCACACTTAAAAACCAGTCAGTCCTCCAACCCTTCACGTCCTCCTAAATCCAAGTGAGGTAAGTGGAAGGCAGCTTCTCAGAGAAAAGTGCCCTGAGGCTGCCGTTAGCTGGCCCAGACAGATGGCCCTCTGGGCCAGTGAGATGTGAAAGAAGGGCTTAGGGCAGTGAACAAACAAATGAGAAAAGAAGTACACAGTGCACAAGTGCGATGTAATAATCAGTTAGTCGGGATGGGAAACTGTTCATGTAATGAAGGCCAAATTATGCACAAAAAATGCAATGGATAAACTGTGTGGACTTGTGTTTATAGCTTTTCAATGCAAAACAGATCCCCAGTAAAAACGTTTTTAAAAAATCACAGAAAGCCAATTTTCATTTAAAAACATAGAGTCAGTACTTACACAATCCTTCTTCAGTCAAGTCCACATTAATGATAAAAAACATAAAACCTCGGGCTCCTTCCTTTTGCCCACCAACAAGAGTATTTACCCAGCCTGCAATGTCCAAAGGAAATGAACATATTTGCATGTATACTTTGGCAAGACAAGGAGGGGGAAAATTATCATATAATATGTTCCCAAAAGATCAAAATGGACTTTGTATAGAAAAGACACACACACACACACACACACACAGAGAGAAAGGTCAGTTAAGAAAAAAACATTTCAGGCACTGCAGAAAGACCATGGGGTTCTTTTGGACTGGACTTTCCTTCACTCATCAAATTAGCTTCCAAATCAGAAAAGACGATGTCAAAGAGTCAGCATTGAGAGAGGGCTTGGAAATCATCCACTGACTAGAATTGAGTACAATAAAGCCAGAAAAAGCCAGAACTTGTATACGGTGGAAACTGGTCTTAGGAATATTTAGAAAATACTCAAATATTCCCTATGAACATACTAAAGTGTAAGACTGTCAAAGGCGGGGAACTTGTGAGACTCAGAAAAATAAGGCAGTCTTACTGAGCTCAGGTTCCACAGCTTTCACAGTATACCTGGCTTAAGGAATAAAAGCAGGCAAGGAAGTAAAGCACACTAAATCTTATTTCACATAGATAGTAAAGAATATCCAATGAGAGCTTTATGTTCTTTCTCATTTTAAACATGCACCCTTTTGAAATATCTAAGCTTGGCTGCTCAATCTTAAAGGGCAAATTATGAAAAACTTCAAAAAACAAAAGCATGCTAACTACCGCCATCTCACTGCACTATTGACCCAAATAATCTCATTCAAAACTGCTCCTTCACAAGAAAATATTTAGAAGAAACTGAAGGCCAAAATGAAAAGATGTGGTAGAGCTCTACTCTCGAAGCCAGTGTCCAAAAGACTTACTTACCCTTTGATTTAAGTTCTGATAGTAGACTTCCAGGACCTTCATGCCCAATGAGATGACCAAGATAATGGCCAGGATTTGATTTGTAGTATTTTTGAAGATCAGGTATGGGAAATGTCACATAAAGATTCCTAATATCTTTAATGGGTACCACTTTGTAAAGTTGCTGTAGGAAAGGAGGGGAAAAAATTAAAAATGATTAGCTATATAATGAGTATAAAACTGAAAATGTTCTAAAATGGATTATGTGCTGACTGTACAACTCTTCTTGATGTGACTGAACTATTTAATTTTATGATGTAAGTTACATACCAATAAAACTGTTATATACAATTCCTAATGAATAAAATATTTACTAACTATGGAGAATACTAATTTTTATGGGAGAATGTCAAATATAGGAATCAGTTGCCAGAGAAAAAATCAGACCAACCAGAGAAATAAATGGCCCTGGTTCTTTCTTAGTGGAATTTCATTACAGCTGGTATGAAGCCTACGCTTTGATCCCTGAACCATGCGGCTCCATGGTTCTGGATTCTAGTCTTTTAGCACCAGATGAGAGCCACGAAAGTCTGTCAAAGTCACAGCTACCGGAACTACTTTTAGCAGGCTAATCAGAACATACTGACATTTTTTGCTGGTACACATCCCTAATAGATGTGAAAGTGATTTGACTCAATTATCCAGATGAATATTAAGAACTTCTTAGGTAGTGAAATGTCCAAAATATTTCATCGACTCTCTACTTAAAAGAAAAACAAACATTGCCAACGAGTCAATTCTGACTCACAAATAATAGGGCTTCTGAGACTTTACATTTTTCATCTACTTGTGGATTTCAACTGTCTACTTTGTGGCTAGCAGTCCAATTCATAGCACCACCAGGGTTCCTTACTCTGGTAAACTGGGAATGCATCATGTCTATAAATTAAAGAGAGAAAATACCAAATACAAATACATGCACTTACTTTAAGATGTTCCTCCTGGAAAGGGTGTTCAGGAAATTCTGGTAATGGGACGTTTTTGTTCTCTACTTCAGAAAACAATTTTACCACCAGATTAGTCAAGTCATCCAGGGATTCTACAAGAAAAGCAGACAATGAAAACATAACTTAAACTACATATAACATATGACAGACGGCCTTTAAGACATTAGGCACTGGGGAGGGTATTGTCTATATCTCCACAGGAAAAGAGGGACCAAACTTCAACCCAGTGCTCCAAGGTGTGAAGACAACATGCCGGCGCGGAGTAGGGAATCAGTGGAGAGGTCTAGGGGGCTGGT